CCCCCAAGAACTCGCGAACGGTATGTCGTATGACCACCAAATTTTCAGAAAATGGTGGACTAATGGAAATTTATCATATCTACAATTTTTATGTCGTTATGACGTAATATGACGTCATTATGACGTCATTAATGTGATTTTACTGGCCAAAACCGTCTAAGGTTTTTCCCTAAAAACTAAATGGTATTCAACATAACTGTACCAAAAGTGTTTATGACAGAATATTAAGGTGCACTAAGTCTTATGTTGCCCATAGCAACACCGGTGACGTCATAAAATGACGTCATACATATTTAAGATATCCGCCATCTTGGATCATCATTCTTGAATTTTCAAAAATTGTTTTTTTTTCATGATAAAGCCTTAAATTCATTGTAAACATACTAAAGACCTTCATTTAAACCTTTTTTGGAAAAAGAGATGGAAGTATTGGTGAAATTTTAATGAAAATAACCTGTATATACCTGTTCTAATGATATGGTCCGCCATCTTGGATTTTGGCCAATGACGTCATTAAATTAGCATACATTATGCATATTTAATGATAAAATTTACATAAAATTTTATGGGATGTTATTGATGTTAGAAACCATGAGTAACTTGACATAAAACCCATAAAATTCTATTGTTGAAACAAAAAGTACTAAATTTAGCAAAAAATGCCTGTCAGAAACCCGTTGCCATGGCAACAAAAAAAATTACTATCTTATTCCAATGTTGAGGAATTGTTGCCAACAATATTCTAGGAAAAGTCACCAAGTTTGGCCGTTCTACGGCTAGCCGTTCAGACGCTAGGTGAAATCAAAGTTGCCGCGGGCACTTTTAGCCCCCCCCCCGGTCTAGGTAGGGTTAACTTTCTAAGTTCAACTCTACCTGAAAAGAAGCTTGATTAGAAATTATTGTTTATAGGTTACACATTTACAGCTTTTGGTTGCATAACTTTGGAAATTATTCAGGAAATTTGACTATTTTTCATGGAGCCAAAGGGCCCTGGTAGAGACTATCGAAAAGCGCCGCCTACCGGCACATGGAGGATAGCAGTTGGCGCAGCCGCTGTGGTCTGTACGGCAAACTGCGCATGTCGTCCAGTAGTAGCATGGCATCGTGCTGCAGCCTTCTAGCTGCTCTGAAAAAGATTATTAACAAGACTGGCAATGAAAACATACATTGCCATGGCGACGGTGGTTGCTGTAATGGTTATTGTTTTCATGGCACTGCCATCATTTCAAGATTTTGAGGAAGACTTGGTACCTGATAAGTCTAGACAGATACAGTGCACTCTTCTCCTGAGTGTATAGTGAACGAGCCCCGGGCTCACAGAAAGTAGGGCCATCTTAGGCAGAGAGGTGTTCCCCAGGGTTTCCAGGAATGTGGGCATATATGTGGGTCAGAGACATGCCTGTGGACATTCCATTCCTGTGGACAAAATGCCTGTACCATTCCTAGAATTCTTGCAAACTGCACACAATACTGTACCATTAGGCTCCTCCCTGAGACGTCACTAAAAATATCAACAAACCCAACTTTAAGTTTAAATCTTCACCACACATAGGTGTAAAGTGTATTGGGCGGCTTCTTTCTCTATAACATTTGGGCCACATATTTACAGCACGTTGAGTAATCACTACAGCTGGGGGCTTGTCCACTGGTAGTGGTGTGTGTTTAACTCCCGTACTCTTTTCCAAATACTGAGTGCTAAGCAGATGAGCAAAAGATAGTATCAAATTGGGCAGGCACTATCCATTTGTCAGTGCCAAATACGGCACCCAAAGGCCATGGAAAACAAAAACATAAAAACTCCAATATTAGTGTTAAGTAGCCCATAGCGACAAAAAAGGGCCATGTGTAAAAAGGAAACGATCCCCCCCCCCCTCCATCAACCTCTGCTTGTAGACTACCCATACTCACGGTAGCAGGCGCAAGGATCCCCTACACAGCCGTTCCCGTCTGCCGCCACCCCGAACGCTCACGGGGCCTGGCCGTACGTATGCGGAGAGTCAGGCACCAAGTCACAGGCATGGGGAGGGCAGGCCGGCTGGTCTGGGGAGTCAGAGAGAGAAAACAGTTATCGAGGTACTACTGTAAACTCTCAGAGGCGTGGGGAGGCAGCAGGGCTGGTCTGGGGTGAGAGAGGGGGAGAACACAGTTATCCAGTTACTGCTGTAAACTCTCACAGGCGTGGGGAGGCAGCAGGGCTGGTCTGGGGAGTCAGAGAGAGAACACAGTTATCCAGTTACTACTGTAATCTCTCACAGGCGTGGGGAGGCAGCAGGGCTGGTCTGGGGTGAGAGAGGGGGAGAACACAGTTATCCAGTTATTGCTGTAGACTCTCACAGGCGTGGGGAGGCAGCAGGGCTGGTCTGGGGAGTCAGAGAGAGAACACAGTTATCCAGTTACTACTGTAAACTCTCACTGGCGTGGGGAGGCAGCAGGGCTGGTCTGGGGAGAGAGAGGGGGAGAACACAGTTATCCAATTACCACTGTAAACTCTCACAGCCGTGGGGAGGCAGCAGGGCTGGTCTGGGGAGAGAGAGGGGGAGAACACAGTTATCCAGTTACTGCTGTAAACTCTCACAGGCGTGGGGAGGCAGCAGGGCGGGTCTGGGGAGAGAGAGTGGGAGAACACAGTTATCCAGTTACTGCTGTAAACTCTCAGAAGCGTGGGGAGGCAGCAGGGCTGGTCTGGGGAGAGAGAGTGGGAGAACACAGTTATCCAATTACTACTGTAAACTCTCACAGGCGTGGGGAGGCAGCAGGGCTGGTTTGGGCAGTCAGAGAGAGAACACAGTTATCCAGTTACTACTGTAAACTCTCACAGGCGTGGGGAGGCAGCAGGGCTGGTCTGGGGAGTCAGAGAGAGAACACAGTTATCCAGTTACTACTGTAAACTAATCTACTCTACTCTATCGTGTTCTATTCTATCGTGTTCTATTCCATCTCATTCTATTCTGTGAATTCTATTCTGCTCTGTATTTTTCCCACCGTGCCTCTTACGCTGCAGTTTACCTGCACGTCGGCAGAGGTCGCAGCCGTTCTCGTCCTTGGCGAACCCGTCGGGACAGGTCAGAGTGCAAACTGACGTAAACCAGGCCTCGCCAAAGGTGCAGACCCGCGGGTCTAGGTGCAAACAAACGGGAAAAGATTAGTCATGTTATCATATTTAAACAATGTTGACCAATTAGGAACCCTATTTGGTGTCGAGTATCAGGTCATAACACACCGAGCATTTGTTAACCACAAGGTTTGACTGTACTAGTATTTTGTCTAAATTTTGATCGCAAAGGCATATATGGGAAGGATATTTGCTATTTGTTCAAATAGCTACGTATATATATGTATATACATATAACAACAAATGTGATTTAACATAAATAGATTTTACATAATTAGACCACAATCGACCAAAACCAACATACCTGCAAAGACTGGCTAAAATGTTGGCATTCAGATTTAGCGGTCGAGAATGTTGAATTTTTTTTTTTTTTACTTTGCAGATCACGAGGTGACGCCAAACTCAGCAAAGGAAGAGCCAGGAAATTGAAAATAGTTATCCCCATTTTCTTGTCTTTTTATCACCGCTGCACTGGTTAGGATATTACCACAGCTAAACACGCTCTATGTGAAGCCGAACATCTGTGGGTCAAAGGTTACCCTACAGAGCTGAACGATACCTGGCTGAACTGATCTACTATCTACTATAAACACAATGCAAGCCAAATAAAACATCCACAGAAAAACCATCAGCACTACAGAACTATAAGTCTTACCGACATAAATGGAACAACAAGATGCACACCAACATACCAGAGACCCTTCGCTTTATTATAACAGAAAAGCAGCTGAATCGAGACGCGCTAATTTCACTCACATACCTCTGCGAACTCGGCTGGCCTTGAAATATGAACAAAACAGAACTTTGTGACCTTTGACCTGATCTCACAATGTGGCACCTGATACACACATAAGTCGTGGTATTGGCAACCCCAGCTTTGAACTGATCAGTTCATGTAGCGCTAACAAGATTGCCTGGCAGACTATTCCTCTCTATTACTGTCCGTGGAAAGTAGCTACCTCCGTCTGTAAGTGTCTGTTTTGCAGGAAAATGTGTGAAAGCGTACTAGGTGATGTCCTCTTGTTTTGTTATTTTTTGTGAGGATAGTGTGTATTGGTATAGAAGCCACTCAGTCCCTTTGACTGGCTTCTGAGAGCAGAGATCGGCAGTACATGTATCTATAACTGACATTCTTCTCCTAAAGGACCACCAGAAAACGTGTTAAACCTTATGATCAGAAATGTCTGTCTCTGTCAGTCAGTCTAAAAAGACTAGAAGAAACTGCGCCAAACAAACAGGATGGCTCATTCCTAGTAACATTATAGCGGCCAGTAATAGCACCTCCAAATAAGGCAGATCCTTTCAAATTTGACCAATACTGGGCCACCATCACCATCTAGGCGTAGGGCAGAGGCGTGTGTTGCACTGAGCTTGTGATCAGCCTGGGGATAAGCCGATAAGTGAACTTTGGCAGAGACAGCAGCCTTGGGTAAGAATACTTCTGATGTTCTGACACTTCCAAACAGCAGTAAAAAGCCTTCACATATAATTTCCAAGCAGATTCGGTGGGGCAATGGGACTTTTTGTTGGCCGCCTGTATCCAACGCTCGGCCCACGAATCTGCTGCAGAAGCCTTTCAAATCTAATCACTCTGGCACATTTCGGCCGATTTGAAGGTAGGTGTTAAGTTTTTGTCAGGAGTTTTAGGGAATCTTTATTAAGTTTTGACAAACATACAAGACGAACAGTTAAAACACCTAGGTCAATCCCTTAATATGAGCTAAGAAACTCACGCAAGGTACGTATGCGTGCGTCAGGCTATCTGGACTTCGAAACTGCAGTTTAAAAGGGATTTATTAGGTCTCAATAATCAATATAATAAAACGTATTCATTAATATATTGCACTATTTGACTATTGCACTTCTTTGTGGAGCAAGCTACTTACAGAATGAGAATAGTCCCATAGGTTTATCCCAACCGACAGTATTTCTTGTACAGTAAATGACGAGGTACATATTGCACATTTGCCCAGTCTGGTTTTCAGATGTCGCACTTCCCTGTCCTTGTGGCTAACAACACATAGTGATTTTAACTTCGAGGTGTTTTCCCCACTTACCACACCCTACTTCCTATTTCAATCGTTACAAGAGTAGCTTCGTAGCCACTATGACTGTTAATATCATTCAACAAGTCTTCGTACTTTGCCCTTTTCTGTCTTCTCCATCGCGGGCATTTTGTTCAAGAGGTACAGTGAGTTCTACAAGAGTCTGTTTTTGTTTGACAGGGTCTTGTATAGTTATGTCCGGAATAAGTGACGTGGGAAGAATGTCCGCTGGAATGATGATATGTGTACCCCCTTCAACTGTATCCGAGCTCACGTCACTCCTGATGGTGACCTGTTGGCCAGATTCAGAGTACCACTGCTGGAGGGTAATACCCGCACACTGTGGGTGTTCCTGACTGGCAGTCGGAGCATAACTCATCAATAAACACAAATGATCCCTCTCCCTTCTACAGCATATACGTTTAACTTATCTATGATATCTCTAAAAATATTTGTTATCATGCGAAGGAAACCGATATCATATTACGCTATGATGCTATACTTTGTGATGATATCAAGTCATTGAATGTAAGAAGCGCAGCGCGGCTGGCTGACTGCAATGTTTGGGATGCGTGTTAATCCCAGTGCAGTAAAAGTTTTACCAAGCGATGTTTAAACGGTTACCAGGGAGGGAAAGCGACGCCGATTTTAAAAGGATAGCCCCGCCCTGGTGCGTTCTGCAGCAGATTTGTGGAGCGCCTAAACGTTAGATACTGTCGGCCAATGGGTACAGGGGCCAACACAAAGTCCCCTTGCCCCACCGAATCTGCTTGGAGATTATTCACATACAGAACTACTGCAGCATGAAACTCTTTACCACATGGGTCACAAACAGTGTCATCACTTGAGATGTTCGAACAATCCATGAGGGACATAAATAACGCGGGGGCACAACCCGTTGTACGTGCAACTGCGTGCTGTCTACGTGCAAAAACGTGGGAAAATTTTTTGGGATCAGTTAGTACCACCTTCTTTCTGAATCCTGCGTCATTTGAGAGCACGCAGACACGTCGTAGCACTTTAAGTGCATGTAAAACTGTTTCTGCGTTCGGGCTGCGAATTCACCTCCCGTACCAACCAGTACGGGCGACGCACGTGCGCTGTACGTACTGGTATAAACGTAACGGACGTGGCCTTCATAAAATACGGGTTGTGACCCTTGTTTGAGTAAACTAAAAACACAAAGTTACACCTTTGTTTCTTTTAAATAACTAGATGTAATGTAACTTTATGTAGTTCTATGATGATGTATTGTTGTACCCCAGTCTCTCCTGAAAAAAAAAAACTGTTACCCACAGATGGGCAATGAATCAATCAATTAATAAATATCTAAATAAATAAAGAGACGTATATTTTTATTAGATCAGGGAATCTAAGGTCCCTCCATATATGCTGGAATATCGGATAAAACAATGCTAATTTTCTTATTTTCCCTCTACAGCAATGGATAACTTCGGAGCGTTGTTAACATATTCTATGCCTCGGTACTTGTCAAGCTTTCGAGCCTTTCTTGACTCCTTTGACGTGAGCGGGCACGGGGATCTATCGTACGGAGCCATGGTTCCAGACTCTATCCTGTGTGAGTCGGGCGAAGATGTGCGTGTGCTAAGGATAGGGAGTGGATCAGGTGAGGCAGCAAGCAAGCCGCAAGATTCTTAACAACTATGAAAGGGGTGATATAGACGTGTAACCGAAATGAAAAGAAACTTACAGTGGATGTCACTGGAAGATAGGCAAAAAATGTCCAGTCTATTATGCATGATGTACAAAATGACAAATAAACTGGTGGACGTACCAACCACTAATTTTGATACCAGCCCAGAAAAGAGCAAGAAATAGTAATGCCTTCAAAGATCAGAGTTATAATCGAGGTGTTCAAAAACTCGTATTTTCCAAGAACCATTGTACACTGGAACTCGTTGCCACCAAGCACAGTTGTGTCATTATCACTAGAAAGCTTTAAACAACTCCTGCAATTTAATGTGTAAAGACTAGGTGTAACAAGTCGTTCGGTGTGATATCCAGCTGCCGCCGCGCCGCGTGCCTGCGAAGCTGGTCTGTTACGCCGAAGGGCGGTTATACCGATACAGACATGTTTAGAATGAGACCAGTGTCAATTGATTACTGCAGATATTCATCATTATTTTGATGTACTGTAGTATTTCACGACAAACAATGATAAGAAACACAATTTTGACCAAACGTATTTTTTATTAATCTCTAAGCAGATTCGGTGGGACGGTTTATTTAATTGGCCGCCTGTATTTATCCTCGGCGTGGGGTGGACGATGGATACAGGCGGCCAACATAGAGCCCCCTTGCCCATAGATTTTGGTTGGGGATTATAGCTTTATGCCTTTGTAGGAGAGATTGACAGCGTCATGTTAAAGAAGCTCCTACAGCGCCACAGCAGTGTGTACATCAGGGTCGTGGAGCCGTCGGAAGAAATGATCGGGCGATATAAGGTGGGAATCGTACTTTGTTCAAAAACTCATTCTTTCCTAGAACTATCGCAGAGTGAAACTCGCTGTCACCAAGTACAGTACTAGGGGCATTAGCATTAGATAGCTTTAAACAATGTTTAGTTCGTTGTTAATAAGTTCCCGTATGTTGTAGCTATGTATATATGAAGTTGTTTATTGCAAATTCCTGCCCGAGGGCTAATTGCATACAGACATTGACAAGAAAATGTGGTAATACATGTATAAGACTATTTGCTGACAGGAACTTCTACGTGTACGATATACTTATCGAACCTACTATCTCTACTTAAATCTAATAACGTTGGTATACATACAGGATAAAAAAGTAAATATGCAATATGTGAACAGGTAATAGGAACAATGTAACTGCTATTCTAATCTATTCTATCTTATTCAACTATTCTTGTCATGCTATTAGGGGGTTTGACTTCTTCTCAGGAGGCAGTGGGAGATGAATTGTCCGACTCTTTGAAAAATAAATGGGTTGGTGGACTTTAGCAATAATATAGTATTTTGTTGTTGGTTGAGATATGAAAAACTTGGGGAAATATTGGCGACATCTTTGAATAACTTCTTTCTTTCAAAATCGTAATGAGGACACTGACAGATAAAATGTATTTCATCTTCCACTGCTCCCTCTTTACAGTATTTACAGAATCTTTCGTTTACAGGCAGTTTCTTATATCTTCCTCTCTCTATCTCTAATGTGTGAGCGCTTAGTCTCATTTTACATAGAGATGATCTTAGCTCAAAATCAGGGTGATGCAGATAGGTTTCCATATTGTAGTCAGATTTTAGTTTTCTATACAATCTTAATTTGCCGCTATTGATATATATATATCCAGTTAGACTTACGTTTATCAGCTTTGCTGCCTGTAAGTCTGTGTAATGTGTTGTTTGCTTTTGAAATAAATAAGTTGTGTAACAAGTCTTTAGATGTAATGTAGCCAGCTGCCGCCGCACCGCGTGCCTGCGAAACTGGTGTGTTACTTCGAAGGGCGGTTACCGTCTATACCAATACAGATGAGGTGTACAGATACATTTTCCATAGTTTCTCTGGCATACAAATTCGTTGACAAGGGTCATACCATGTGTCGGTATATTGCATAGTCGCTGGTACGTGAAGACACCGGCCTCGGCGCAGTGAAGTTTGACTGGCGCCAGCAGACAGCAGACGAGTACTTCACGACAAAGGAAGAGACAAAGTTTCACCTGATCCACGCCGTCCACGTTCTATACTATGTGAAAGACCTTCACGCCACCTTGCGGAACATGTGGGAAGAGCTAGCAGACGGTGGTTACATGTTGATCGCAATGGAGTCAGGTAATCCGTAAACCAGTGGTTTGTTTGCACTCTCAATTTATTTACCAAAAACTTCGAACTTTAAACTTATTCTAAATGAAATTTCATAACTTTTTAAAGGCTCTTATGAAGCTCGTGCTTTTATTATCTGACCTACCATCTCCTTGTTATCTTAAAATGCCCGGAGATGACAATCCATTTGCTGTGAAAGTTCACCCTTACTTCTATCGGGCACCTGAACTTTGTAGGAGCATACTAAATTTTGTATATCTTTTTTTTTTCATTCAAAGAAACAATAATACAATTTACAAAGGAAATGACGAAGACAAAGTGGCGGCCTACTCAAGTTGTGCAGAGCTTATATTGTAGCCAACACTTGTACATTGAAAATGACATGTTTGACAAGTCACTAAACAATACACACAAAAGCAATATCTTTGATGAACATGAATCCGATTTGCAGATGATGTTATGAGAGCTAAGAAAACTACCACGTAGAATTAAAATTCACTTGTAAAACGTTGTCGGATAGAGTGTTGCACAAAGTTGAATGAATGTCCCAGAATCGTGTGTATATTTGTAATATATGCTTACATATTCACAGATAGAAGTGACTGGGGGAAGATGGTGTACAGGCTGAGGGAAATATTCGGCCTAGGTGGAAGTTCATCAGCTTTATTCAGTTCACCCACAGAAATCAAACAGTGGTTTGATGAAATGAAGATCGGTTACGTCACTTCGGAGGATGAGGTCAATATGAACGTCACGGCGTGTTTTAAGGAGGAGTCAGAGCCAGGAAAGTTGCTTCTCGACTTCCTGGTTCACACGCCCCACGTGTCCTCTGAGACAGATTTGCGGGCAGCAGCCCTGGAGTATATTCTTCAGAACTCGTCGATGGTTGAAGATAAGATTGTCCTTAAGTCAGTTAATGAAGTCATGGTGGCCTTCAAAACTTGTGAGTAACAAAAGAAAAGAGATGTTGATCCTAATGTAGGTAAATTGTTTCGCTTGACATAACGTTAAATCTCAATTTTATATGATACATGTGGTTGTTTAAAGCTAAAACTTTGCATCCAACACCAAGAAGTTTTCTCACCTAGAGCTTTCAACCAGTCATTCTAGTCTCCCTCAGCAGACTGACCCAGTGCGGCTTGCCATGTAGTTACATCTGAGAAAATGTACCGAATTTGGGTAATGACGGAACAATTGCCACTTATACATGGCATTGTCATAATTTCAGCTGTCCTCCACACCTGCAAAGTCTGCTACCTCGAGCGCGAGCGTCCGCCACAGAATCCCGGTATCCCTTACGGAATAGTGAACACTTATCCATACCCGTTTGTAGAACCACCAGGTCCCAGAGAACATTTGTAATCAGAGCTATAACTATCTGGAATACTCTCCCTAGCGAAACTCGAACAACCCGCTCCATCAGCTCCTTTAAAAAGAAACTATGGACAATACTTGAGAAATACTTGACGACAACTACTTAGTAAATAGTTCAATAGAATAATATTGTATTGACAATGTAAATATAGTGCACAACATCTGTTATGTAATAGTATATTAACCTGACATATAAATGTAATTGTAGTAAACGCACGACGACCAGGCCGGATATTCTAGCTTGTTAACGTTTGGCCACAACATCTGTTATGTAGTAGTACCGTTAGTATGTCTATCTGAATTGTAACTGGCACTGTTAACTGTTAACTGTTCCGAATTGTTTATGTTCTTGTTGTGAGGGCTAGCCCTTTATAATAGCCTCCGGCTAGTTGGGCAGTCCTGGCTGCATACATATGTGTTATCAGCCTAATAAATCAAATCAAATCAAATCAAAAAGAATGTTTTTGCTATCATTATGTCGAGTCTGTCCCTTTTAAAGTGTTGATTTGTTTGTGTCGAATCCTTCAGCGGCCTCAAAAATACACACTATGGTGCCTTGGGTCTCAGTTTGACACCTTCAACACACTACCTAAGGTGGCATGAACAGTGAGATAGTTATTTGTCCGCCATGACAGTCCGACCAAAACAACACACCGTCTGACTTTTCTACTTTCTTTAAGCTGAAATAGTCCAACCTGTGCCCCTCTTTCCTCTATATTTAAGCATGTGAGAATTTTACATTTCTGTCCTTACTAAATGTAGTGCGGGTAGTTCAGTATTTACAAACATTCACGGACATACACACAACATCCTTTGTACGTACTGAGTTTAACACTTGTCGTCATGCACTGGTACCCTGTCCTGATCCAGCAGGAATGTGGATAGACAACCCGCGTACTGCCTGGCAAGTGGCGTTCAAAACTGGTTACTAGTTGAGGTCGACCACAAGAAGGGTTTGCAGGTGAAAATTCTGTCGTCTGAAGGCTATGTCATTCCTATGACACAGGTGAAAATTCTGTCGTCTGAAGGTTATGTCATTCCTATGACACAGGTGAAAATTCTGTCGTCTGAAGGCTGTGTCATTCCTATGACACAGGTGAAAATTCTGTCGTCTGAAGGCTGTGTCATTCTTATGACACAGGTGAAAACTCTGTCGTCTGAAGGTTATGTCATTCCTATGACACAGGTAAAATATCTGCTATCTGAAGGCTATGTCATTCCTATATATGACACAGGTGAAAATTCTGTCGTCTGAAGGCTGTGTAATTCCTATGACACAGGTAAAATATCTGCCGTCTGAAGGCTATGTCATTCCTATGACACATGTAAAATATTTGCCGTTTGAAGGCTATGTCATTCCTATGACACAGGTAAAATATCTGCCGTCTGAAGGCTATGTCATTCCTATGACACAGGTAAAATATTTGCCGTCTGAAGGTTATGTCATTCCTATGACACAGGTAAAATATCTGTCGTCTGAAGGCTATGTCATTCCTATGACACAGGTGAAAATTCTGTCGTCTGAAGGCTGTGTCATTCCTATGACACAGGTGAAAATTCTGTCGTCTGAAGGCTATGTCATTCCTATGACACAGGTGAGAATTCTGTCGTCTGAAGGCTATGTCATTCCTATGACACAGGTAAAATATCTGCCGTCTGAAGGCTATGTCATTCCTATGACACAGGTGAAAATTCTGTCGTCTGAAGGCTGTGTCATTCCTATGACACAGGTGAAAATTCTGTCGTCTGAAGGTTATGTCATTCCTATGACACAGGTGAAAATTCTGTCGTCTGAAGGCTATGTCATTCCTATGACACAGGTGAAAATTCTGTCGTCTGAAGGCTATGTCATTCCTATGACACAGGTGAAAATTCTGTCGTCTGAAGGCTATGTCATTCCTATGACACAGGTGAAAATATCTGTCGTCTGAAGGCTATGTCATTCCTATGACACAGGTAAAATATCTGCCGTCTGAAGGCTGTGTCATTCCTATGACACAGGTGAAAATTCTGTCGTCTGAAGGCTGTGCCATTCCTATGACACAGGTGAAAATATCTGTCGTCTGAAGGTTATGTCATTCCTATGACACAAGTGAAAATTCTGTCGTCTGAAGGCTGTGTCATTCCTATGACACAGGTGAAAATACCTGTCGTCTGAAGGCTATGTCATTCCTATGACACAGGTGAAAATTCTGTCGTCTGAAGGCTATGTCATTCCTATGACACAGGTAAAATATCTGCCGTCTGAAGGCTATGTCACTCCTATGACACAGGTGAAAATTCTGTCGTCTGTAGGCTCTGTCATTCCTATGACACAGGTAAAATATCTGTCGTCTGAAGGTTATGTTATTCCTATGACACTGGTGGAAATTCTGCTGTTGAGGGCTATATCATTTCAATGGCTCAGGTGACATATCTGCCATGTTAAGGCTATGTCATTCCTATGACACAGGTGAGAATTCTCTTGTTCAGGGCTATGTCATTCCAGTGACACAGATGAAAAATATGCCGTCTTTATTTGTCAAGCAATTTTTACATGTACGTAGACATTCTAGCATTGTTCCATTTAAAAATATATGTAGTCCAAAGTTACAATTATCCCATAACTGAAATTGTCGTTAACGAAAATGAACTATCCCTAACATACGCACGCACAGCAAAACAGATTGTCTGTAAGACAAGTATGTTTCATTAGAAATATGAATGTCATGTTCCGATCAGAATGGTTAGGGTGAACAGGGTGTAACGTGTTCGAAGGAACAATTAGTATGGTTAAACTGAGTGATCCCGATAGAGCAACTATTACGGGTAAGGCCTACATGTTATCTTGCAATAAAAAAAATAAAATGTATAGAAATACTACACTGTGTACCCGACCTCGGGTCATGAATCGCCCGACCGCCGTATGTGGCCGTTACACTTTTTGTGCAACGGGAGCCGTTCGAGTTATTCTATGAAACATTTGGAAGCATGTGTAATAACAAAAGAGACTCCGGGCCGTAGCGTCAGTTATAACACTGGCCAGAACATCCGTATGTTTATGTCGTTGTGACGTAATATGACGTCATTATGACGTCATAAATGTGATTTTATTGGCCAAAACCGTCTAGATAGGTTGAAAACTAAACAGTATACGACATAACTTTACCAAAAGTGTTTATGACAGAATATTAAGATGCACTTAGTCTTATGTTGCCCATAGCAACACCGGTGACGTCATAAAATGACGTCATGCATATATTACCTATCCGCCATCTTGGATCATCAATCTTGAATTTTGAAAAATAGTTTTTTTTCAGGATAAAGCCTAAAATACATTGTAAACAGACTAAAGACGTTTATATGAACCTTTTTTTGTAAAAATAAATGGAAGTATTGATGAGATTTTAAGGAAAATAAGCTGTATTTACCTGATCTAATGTTATTAGTCTTAAAACAAATGTTCTTAGTCTTAAGCAATTATAAAACAGTCTCTAAAACTACAATGATAAAAGGTAGTTTTCTGTCTGCATATGTCCATGTTTCAACATATGCATAAATGAACAGGACTAAGATGTTCCCAATTCTCCTGTCTTAGAAAAGATGGCCATCAAACGTCTAGAGGCCTGATCAGAAAGAGAGCTGCTAGAAGCGCGTTATGGACAGACCAGTAATTGTATATCTTTGATATTTTGTACAATACTTTGCCCTGCTTTTTCTCAAATTTAGATTCTCTATACTTTACACAGAATGATATGACGCTCGCTAACTATTCTTGGTTGGATAATGAAAACTAAGACCAATAACAGTTACCAAGCCTTACGGAATGTTAAATCCAAAATCTGAACTTGTATACAGTTATTGTTTATATTGTTATATATAATACACGCAATGAGCAGCTGACATGCTAATTTTTTTTGCTCAAGTTAAGTTTTCTGAAAGTTTAAGACCTCGCCAAAAACTTCGGCTAATTTAAGGTCAATCAAGATCGTCTTTTGAAGATCTCAAAAGCTGATTCCTGTCGGTATCGGCTGTCCAACAATCTTATCCCTGTTGAACTACGTACTTATTTATGGTGTTTCTACATTTTCGTATAAACGTTTAAGTGACGAGTGTTGAAATGCAAAGCAGTATGCCCAGCGCCTTAAGATAAATTTCCCCCATCCATGGATTCAGTGATGGCCTAAGCCTGGCACTTCTCTGTCTGATCATGTTGGATTTCGTACAAAGAATTTAGCTGCGAGGTAACAGCCCCTGTTTCATATGATGGATTTCCAGCATCTAAGGGTTCATCGATGGCCTGAGACTGATGCTGCCCTGTCAAATCATGTTGGTTCACTTCTTCATTATTCTGTTCATCACGACCACTAGTTACGGAAGCTAAGTCATTACAGTGGTGTTTAGGTTACAATTAATTTCAGTGACAGCCTGAGACTGGCCATGACAACTGTTAATTATTGGGTCATTTGGTGGTGTTCGCTCACTTGCGTACAAATTATTTGGCTTTAAGGCAGCTAACATTTCACCATCTGACAGATTACCAACTTTTAGAGACTGTAAGTTAGCCTGAGACTGAACCTGTCCTGTCCGATCATGACCACTGT